GGCTATCTGCCCCGGAAGGCTGTCTCCATCCTGAAGGCCCAATGGAGTGTGGGGAGACATTCGCACACATGGGGGCAGGGGGTCGGAATCTCCTCCAGGGCACTGGTTTGATGATTTGCCTTGTCGCACTTTGCCCTTGAACTTGTGTTGGTCCTGCATTGCTCAGCTGCCCTTTTGAGTCTTTGCTGTGGGAGCCCTTCCCTGGCCCCGGTGGTGCACACAGTTGGTGAACCTCCCCGGTTTGGAGGTGGTGTCGGAGGCTCAAGTCCATGTGGAAGTACCCCGGGAGGAAAGGCCTGGAGATCCACTTCTGGAAAATCAATCCCGGAGAAACCTATGGGGTGCGCTTTTGCTCAGACGCACAGGGGCCTGCCAAAGGTCTCAGCTGATTGACAAAGTGTTAACTTCTGTTTAGGGTAGCGCTCGTGGGCAAGGGTTAAACTTCGGACTGCTGACTGGAAAGGACAGTGGTTCCAACCCACCAGCCCATCCACTGGAGGAAGATGAGACTGTGTGCTGCCTTAACAGTGGACACTCCCAGAATCCCGATGGAGCAGTGCTGCTCTGCTCTGTGAGGTTGCTGGGAGTCAGAATCCACTTGCCTACAGTGAATTCCATCTTTGGGTGGAGCTGCTGGGCACACAGACGCATGAAGCAAAACCAGACCTTGTCTCATGGGATTTAATACTGGGGAGCTGGGCTGCTAACCGCAAGGTCAGCAGTTCAAAACCACCAGCCTCTCAGAAGGAGGAAAAGGAGGCTTGCTATCCCCTTAAAAAGTTACAGTCTCAGAAACCCATAGGGGCAGTTCTACCCTGCCCTCTAGGGTCGCTGTGAGTCAGCATTGCTCGCATGGCAGTGAGAGAAGGCAGTAGGCAGCCAGTGGGGGAGGTGGGGGACAGGACACGTGGTTCTGTTTGTATTTCTCCCCTTTCTCTCCCATTTTCCTCTGGGAAAGGACCTACTGTGGGTGGCCAGGCCTCTGCAGCTGAATCCCTAAGTCACAGGAAAGCAGATGGCTCTGGGGGCCTCCCTTTGTGTTCTTCCAGATTGACAGCAGTGACGTGCCTGTGTGCACAGGTGTGTGCCTCCGAGGTAACGTCCCAATAGGTAACAGCCTTAGAATGATAGCCACTGGGGCCATATCAGGACATCCTAGATCTTTGTCAGCGGATTCCTTTGGAAACAGCTCATTTACTTGCTCTGGCTCGAAGCCGAGGCACAGCCGTTGCCTCGCTCAGGAGACAATGCCCCCACGAGGATGCCAACAAGTGTTGGCATGTGGGAGGGTGGGTGGGCGGACGGTGGGATATTGGACAGTCAGCATTTCCATGCCCCACAGAGGCCCGGGAGGGGTGGGGGAAATCCCTGCCCTCACCTGCCCATGTGATCTCAGCTTCAGAGTGTGAACCCGTTGGAGGATGGTGCCCTCGGCTGTCCTTTCTGGTTTCTGCTGCTGCAAGGGGCAGGGGGGCAGATAATTCTACATGAGGGTGCACCAAGGAGCCTTGGTGGCACTGTGCAATAAGCATTGGGCTGCTAACCACAAGGCCAGTGGCTCAAACCCATCAACCAACCCTTGGGGAGAAAGGTGGGGCTGTCTGCTTCCATAAAATTTCTCGTCTCGAAAATGCAGGCCGCCCGTGGGTCGGTATGGACCTGATAGCAGTGCATCTTGGGCATCTTTGTGGCAGATACGGGAGTGGAGGATCTTTACAAGCATCATTGTGTTTCCTGCTACTCGGACTCACAGCGAGCGCACCTGGTAGCAGGAGTCGCAAAGTGAAAGGGCGTATTGCACTGGGAAAACCTGTTCCACAAGGCCTCTTTCAAGTGCTCGAGAGCAAAGGTGCTCCTGGCCCAGCCGGGGTGTTTTCACTCGCCTGTGTGGCGTGTGAAAATTGGACCCATGAAGGAAGATCGGGGGAGCTGATGCCTTTACATGGCGGTGACGCTAATGGAACAGACCACAGAGGGCCAGTCGAATAAGCCCATCCGCCTTAGAAGAAGCACAGCCAGAAGGCTCCGTCAGGGCCGACTCATCTTGCTTACTCTGGGCACAGCATCAGGAGAAGACAACAGCCAGGGGACTGGTTGGTCGGCGAGGGAGACCTGATGAGGTGCACTGACAGATGGCCACAAGAGCGGACTCTCACACAGTGTGTTTGGGCAGGTTGGCTGGAAAAACAGATCCAGAGACCCTCACATGTGTGTAAGAAAGAGCTTTTCATATCAAGAAGGAATTGTCTATCAAGAAAACATCCCATCCCAGTCCAGTTCCAGTCCACAAGTCCAATACTGGTCCATAAGTCCCTCTTCGGGCTCACACAGTCACAAGCAATGATCCGAGCGCAGGAAGATCACAGGCTGGTGGGTGCAAAGTCTTGTGGATCCAGTGGTGGTGGCTGCATCTCCAGGGCTCTGGCCATCCTCAGGATCAGCCAGCAGGAAAGACGAAGTCAAAGAGAGGAGGAGGTTCCCAGGACCATCCTTAAGAGAAGGCCATGTCCACAAGGAGGTACCATCGGGCTGTGACCTGGTTGACAGGCTCGACGTGAAATTATGTAACTACCACACATAGCAACTATCGTTGCAATGGTGCAGGACCAAGCAGTCTTTTTTTCACTTGGATGCACGATCCCCACCAGTCACAGCCACGTCGGTGCCCACAAACCACACCATGGCATGGAGACCTCTGAGGAAGAAAGTTAAAGAACTTAGCTAGAAGTGTGTGTGTGTGTGTGTGTGTGTGTGTGTGTGTGTGTGAACTGGAATTTGTCTTATTCTCATGATTTTTTTTCCATGATTAAAAGTCTTCCCATCTAAGTGAGGTGTCAACTAAGTCCACGTGGAGGAAGCACACCAGCCTGTGTGATCCAAGGATTCTAAATAATAAAACCAAAATCCAAAGGAGGGGATCGTACCTTCTGGTTTGCAGAAGGCTGTGGGTGATGGTAGAAGCCCCAAATCGATCAAGCCTCCGTGAAGCAGCAGCCTCGCTCTCAGACAGAGTACTGTAAAGTCAATTATGGTAGATGAAGTTAGGTTAAAAGCAGGAGAAAGGCCGGGCTTGCTAGTCCCGTAAAGAGTTATCATTTTGGGACTCTACCCTGTCCTATAAGTGATGCCAGAGAGTTTGGTTTGGGGTGAGTTAGGTTAAACTATAATGTCCTATGTGTCCGGTTCCTATCTGTACCAGTGTACATCCTCTGGTCTAGCCAGATTTATAAGGTAGTATTGGGATCATGATGGGGGGGAGGGGCGCAGGAAGAGGAAGCATTTAGGAACTAGAGGAAAGTTGTATGTTTCACAGGGAATTCAGGGCGGCTGATCCCTTCAGGACCAGTGGTGTGAGTGGCGATACCAGGAGTGTGGATGGAGGGTGGGTTGGAAAGGGGGAACCGATTACAAGGATCGACATATAACCTCCTTCCTCCCTGGAGGATGGACAACAGAAAAGTGGGTGAAGGGAGACATTGAACAGGGAAAGATATGACAAAATAATTTATAAATTATCAAGGGTTCATCGGGGAGAGGGGAGCAGGGAGGAAGGGGAAAAATGAGGAGCTGATGCCAGGGGCTTAAGTGGAGAGCAACTGTTTTGAGAATGATGAGGGTAATGAATGTGCAAATGTGCTTTACACAATTGATGTATGTATGGATTGTGATAAGAGTTGTTTGAGCCCCTAATAAAGTGATTACATACATATAATGTCTTATCATTTGATCTCTTCCTTTCGACCCATTTTAAAGTCGTTTCGGTCATATTTCTGCTTTCTCTTGGATCAAGGTTTTCCTAATTTTGTCTGGCCAGTGTTGTTGGGTTCCGTTTGTTTGTTTGCTTGCTGTGTGTGCTTGTATTTTGTCTGGTTTCCTGTCGGTGGAATCCAGATAGGGAGCTCTAGAGACAGCACAAGACAGGACAGGCGCAGCCGGGAAGACAGGAGGACGTGGGGAGCTGACGACAAGTCTGAGAAGCCAATGTTCTGAGATTCCTCGTGGTGATGGTCACACAACTCTCGATACGACTGGGCGATTACATCGTCTGATCTGTGAAGTAGATGCCAATATAACTCTCTTTAAAAGTAATAAATAAAATGCAAATTTCACACACACAACACCCTCTTCTCCTTCCTCGGCCATGCACGGAATTGTGTCTCATTTCCTCTTCCGTAATCTCCAGCCCTCGGTGGCCTGGATCAGTTACAGAAACTGGTCTCCAGGGAACATGCTCTGAAGGAATCCTATATTTGAATGGCTCCAGGGGCGACTACGACTTCCGTGAGAGAGCGTTCGTCGATTGCAAACTCCAAGCCTTGTGTGTAGGTATCAGCCATGAGTTTCTCTCATAAATCTTTCTGCCTCGGAGACTACAGCTCGGTAGGGAAGCAATGATGGACACCTGGTGGTGCAGCGCGGTACACGGCGGGCTGCTAACCACAAGGGCGGCAGTTTGAACCCACTAGACGCTCCGTGGGAGAAAGATGAGGCTTTCGGTTCCTGTGAAGACTCAGAATCCTGGAAACCCCCCGGGGCAGTTCTACTTCCCTGGCCTCTGCGGTGGCCATGAGTCAGAGTGCAGTCCATTCAGAATGGAGTGGTCTTCATGAAGACCAGGACGCCCCTGGCCATCAAGTCAATGGCGACTCAGAGTGACGCTCTAGGACAGGGTAGGACTGCCCCTGGGAGTTTCCAAGACTGTAACAGTTTATGGGAGGAGACAGCCTCATCTTTCTCCTAGGGGGCGTCTGGTGGTTTCGAACTGTGGATCTTGAGGATTGCAGCCCAGTGCTTTACCACTAGGTCACCAGGGCTCCAAGAAGAGGACTTTAGTGGAGGCTTAATCTATGTGGGGATTCAGCGACCTATTCTGTGCTTGCGCTGCCATCCGTGTAGGGAGTGCTTAGGATCTCAGCTCTGGTCCCCCAGAGACAACCGCCTTCCTCCCGTCTCAGCCCGGTGTGTAACACGCCCCTTTCTCGTTGCTCTCTTCCAGGCTAGCGTTCTTCCGCTGACGGACACGGGCAGGAGAAGTTGATGTCCACGCCCGCAGACCCTGGCGCGATGCCCCACCCGGGGCCTTCGCCAGGGCCCGGACCCTCCCCAGGACCGATTCTGGGACCCAGCCCCGGGCCAGGCCCATCCCCAGGCTCCGTCCACAGTATGATGGGACCCAGCCCCGGGCCTCCGAGCGTCTCGCACGCGATGCCGACGATGGGGTCTGGGGATTTCTCCCAGGAAGGGCTGCATCAGACGCATAAGGTAACCGTCCCGGCTCCTGCCCGGCCTCCCTGGAATCATGGCGGCTGCTGGCCAGTGGGCTGCCCCTCGGCCGCCCCAGGCACGTGCATCCAGTAATGCCGCTCCCCTCAAAGCTTCCACAGGAGCCCAGGTGGCTTAGTGGTTATGCCTTGGGCTGCTAACTGTCAGGGCAGCAGTTTGAAACCCCCAGCTGACCCTGGGGAGAAAGGCGGAGCATTGCACTCCGGACAGAGCGGCAGTCTCAGAAGCTCACAGGGCGGTTCTACCCAGTCCGAGAGGGTCACAGTGTGTTGGTGGCGAGTGTGGTTCGGTTTAAGGCTTTCAAGGCTGTGTGTGGCTTTCCAGAAGCGGGTCACCCAGGGCCCTCCTCGGCGTCCTGTCTAGGTGGCGTGAACCGCCAGCCTTTCTGTTCTCCCTCAAATGCTAAACCCCTAAGCCCACCCACTACCTTCAGTCGATTTCAACTCCTAGGGACCTTGTAGGGTTAGACTAGGGTTCACCCCCTGTCTCCAAGCCTGTCCGTCTTCACAGAAGCCGACTGTCGTCACAGCTTTCTCCCTCGGAGCGGCCGGTGTGCTGGAACTGCCAGCTTTTCTACTGGCCGCTGAGTGCTCTCACCACCGCACTACCAGGGCTCCTGCCAAACTCATGGATGGCTGACATGTGGGGGTCCAAAAGGCCCGTGCGCTTTTAATTCCACCAACTTCTGGAAGTATCCTCGTATCCCTGATCATCCACACACACCACCTTCCCCCTGCTCCTTTAAAAAAAAAAGAAATATTACTAGCAAGAGGCTCCAGCTAGGTCTTTGTCTTCTCTTTTCCATTATTGAAAACACACATGTTCTGGGCCCTGCGATGCTTACAGATCAGATCTGGGCTTTTTAGAAATGGTGGCTAGCTTAAGCAGTCCTGACAGGTCGCTGTGATCTCTGGGCGGGAGAGATTTTAGCTCCATGAAGAAGCAAGTTAGTGGATATAGCTTTTTTTTC